AGCTTTATAAAATGCCTAAGGATCCGACGCGACCTCTCCAGTGCCACTAAGATTCGCCCGTACCGTGCATCTGCCTGGTCTTTCCTTCCGTATGGTTGCGAATGCCGGGCTGTGTGCTTGGAGGACGAGCGAAAACTGGAGGTATTTAACCACGACTGTTTGAGGGCCATCCTTCGAGTGATATACACCGACTTCATCTCAAATGAGACAGTTCGCGCTGGCTGCGACGCCAGCGCAGGGATAACCAAAGCCATCCAAGAAAGGCGACTGAGGTGGTTTAGGCATGTTATTCGTCGTCCACCTCAGGAGCTCAGTGTTGCTGCACTCGACCCGGTACCATCGCGTTATGGGAAATGTCGAGGATGGGGTAAACTCAAAACCTGGCTCGAAACAGTTCGTCAAGACATGGAGGTGGTTCTTGGACCTTCGGTATTCGGCCTCCGTTGTTGGTGAAGATAATGGGCCGAACTGTTCAGATCTGCTGCCGTGGATCGTCACGCTTGGAGAGGTACAGTTCGGAACATCATCGACGTCGGCTAGATCAGGCATGATCGCAGCTGTACCAAGTACAACTACAAAACGGAGACCTCAGACAGAAATGCCTACCTGACAGTCTTAACATAGGCGGCCCGGTCGGGTTGTGGATACTAAAACAACCTCCAAGAAAGGATATTTGAAGAATTAATAGTTGCAGACTGTGCGACGCCCACGCCGTACGATGCAAATGATCTCCGATCCGTCAATTCAGTGATATCAACAAGTCGACTTTCCTTCTGTTGTCCGTGTGAAAGCCAGCCGGCGCCAGGACCTTGCTTGTACCGTATCTGCTATACTCAGCAGCAGACTCCGTTTTATCAACTTGGTCGAGAGGAACTTTGAAAACTTTCTTCTTGTAATTTAATCCAATTTTACCGGATACGGCTTAACCATACGATATGCTCCTTCATCCAGAGGGGTGCGCCGCCTTTTGTGTAGACTAAAACTTGGGTCACACTAACCTATTGAACAAGCTAGTCGGGTCGCACCTCATTCCGTACAGCCCTATGCTCTTCACAATGATGATAAATACCCATTGTGACGAGTAGTCTGAAACTAGCACTGCTTACTGGAAAAGTCGGAAACCGCCCAGTATCCTACATTGACAGGCTAAAACAAAGTTATCCAGGACCAGAGGCCGTGATCTCATTTCCGCCAATGACGGCGAGCCATTAAAACTAAAGCGGAAATGCGTCAAGTGCGTAACTCCGTCTCCAGTTGCTTAAGCTACGTAGGAGTCATTATAACGGAGAAGACAGTGGCTATGTAGCAACCAGCGCCGCCTGAGGAATGCAGCGAGCACACAGGAGACGTCAGTAGAGCTAGCCTCACAGCTATGGACAAGTTGGCATACATTGGAAGTAATATATTAAGGATCGTCAAGATGCAGAGGTGCTGAACCAAAACTGTGGTCAGATTGGCCGACGGTACGCGCTAATCAGGCTGTGCGAAATATACGCAGATTGGAGGGGGAAGGGGCGTTGTGACATCCTGAGGCGTAGGCCTCACGCCACCAAGCCTAATCCCAGCAGCGGATATTTAACATGTGTCATGCTAACTTATGTCCTGACCAAATTCCATCTTACTTACTACTGTTCTATTTCTCGTCTTAGTTTTAGTACTTTAATTGTAAGATGAATGGAGCTCTGTTACAGAGTATTCTTCGTTCTGATTCTTACATTCCTAAAGTCCTTAGCTAAGGACTGCGATTTTAAAGCCGCTACGGTAGAACAAAATTTTGACGATGCCATCAGAGATGCGTTCATCAGTGACCTTTCTTCAAATCAGATTTGGCAGAGGTTATTGGAGCAGGAGGATTTGGGCTTCCAAACTGCCTTTGGTCAGGCAAGGTCACTGGGATTGGCAGAAAGACAGTCTCTATCCTATCAAAACTCTTCGACGACCTCATTCCCTGCCGCTACTGAGCCATGTGCAACTTCTTCGAGTCCCTTTAAAGAACTTGATTTAGTTGCTTCTACTTAGTTCCATAGAAAATGTTTCCTTTGTGGATACGGTAGGCACCGCCGTTTGATGTGTTCCGCACGCGATGCATTATGCAAAGGATGTGGCAAAAAGGGGCAATTCAAAAAGGTGTGTCTGGCGTCACGAAACTGAAAAACCGTCTCTTCCGCCATGAATCCTATCATTTCCGCCGTGACATCAACTGCTGTTCCTGTCTTTCAAATGACGGGATTTAACTACAGATAAACGTGACCACTTTTCAGGCCCTGCTTGACACAGATATTTCTGAGAGCTGCATTTCTCCTTCAGTAGTGTTCTGAAGTAAGTGGAAGGTTCATAACTCTTGCACTAAGATATCCATGGCCACCTCTGTCTTAGCCAGCGCCACGCAAGGACATGTTCTTGTATCTATTAAATATAAAGGTGCAATAGACAACAAAGTCAAGCTATTGGTCTTGCCGGATTTGTGCGCCGATTTTCTATTTGGACGTGGCTTTCTTCGGCTCCACAAGTGTTGGAATCTCTCATGGTGCACCTTAACCTACGTCCTCACCTTGTTCTGTGGTTGCGCTTCCCCACCTGTTTTCTAATCTGACACCGGACTGCTAGCCTATCGCTACTAAATCCCGTAGACACATCAATGTAGATGAGAGATTTATATGGGGAGAAATTCGTTGTCTTTTTTCTGAGAGTGTAATTCGGAATTCATTAACCCCGTTGCCTAATCCAAGTTCTGGTGGTAGTTAATGAAAACCACAAAAACGGGTGGTTGTTGATTTTGATCAGACGAGCAACAAGTAAACACTCCTCGATGCCTACCCCTCACCCTGGATAGATGAAATGATTGAAAATAATGCAAACTACGACACACATAGCACTGCATCTCAAGAGCGCCAGACACCAGACACCCATCCGGGTGCACTAAGGACCATTCACTGCCTTTGCAGCTTGTGGACATTTGTACCAATTTTGTCGTATCCCGTTTGGTGTGGCCAATCGGGTTGCATGCCTCCGGTGGACGATCGAGGAAATAATTACGCGCGAGCGTCTAAAGAATATTTTCGTATATGCGGAAAATATCACTATCTGCGGGAACGGCCTCGCGGAGCATTATTTAAATTTTCGAAAATTCCTTGGAATGGCCGAATAGTACGGGCTAACATTCGATTAGACCAAGTTTTATTGTTGCTAAACAAATCGAAATTATTGGTTACGGGGTGTCCAAGGGAAACATTAGGCCGGGTCCGGATTGTCTGAGGCCCTTGCACGAAAAGGCTCCTCCGCACGATCTCGGGGCCAACAACAACAACAACAGCAACTTGTCCATCCATACTGTCTTCGTAACAGAGACGCCTAAACTCTGACACATGCATATCTTACCTTCCTGATTTTTCGACACCTTGATCCCTCTGTTTTTTGACTGGGGTGAATATCATGCTAACTTATGTCCTGGCTAAATTGCATCTTATCTACTACTGTTCTGTTTCTCGTTTTAGTTCCAGTACGTTAATTGTAAGACGAATAAAGCCCTATTATAAGGTATTCTTCGTTCTAATTCTTACGTCCTGATTGATTCGTGCTTTCACTCTCGTGCGCTTGCTACGCTCCTAGCTACAACAGCATGCTCGGACAGTCGACCGGTATACGGGGAGAGGAGTGAGACCGACACTGGAGAATCCATCTCCACAACACATTTCTCACGAAACTAGGCACGATACGCGTGAGTCTATCACGACGCGCCATGGGCCATGGCTTTAAAAGCTGCCAATTGACGTCTCAATTCGGTCCTTCTCAGGAATGGGACTCGGACACGATGGCCACTGAATGTGGCCTCTATGGCACTCTCGCGCGTGAGACCCGAACCGATGTCGTCACAACCTGCTACATTCTGCGGTAACCAGGTCGTCTGTGGGTCGCCCTGTACGCATTTTAGCTAGCTGCCTCTAGTATAGGTGGCTTAGTCGACAGCAGCCAGTTGAAGTCTTCTTCGAAGAACCCGGCTACATACGCGAAATTACTTGCGTAGTTATTAATAACAGTTGTGTTGTTTACGTGACTGCTTCCGGTGACGTTAGATGTGCGTTTGCTTAATGAACCATTATAATTGCGTCAGCCATATCGGGAAGGATTTTTTTACATGCTTGAAAACGAGTGTTTTACCTGAAATTACAGTAGGATTTATAGTTGGGAAATCACTACGCTGACCCTTTTGGTGCAGTCAGCGGAATGTTGCTACTTGATCACATTTACCCTGGTCTGCTTACCCTACATTCCTTTAAGACACACCTTAGGCCAAGGAAATGTAGGAACACCCACGTGGTCGCTTATCCCTCGTTTTATGAGATCTGGGTCATCGAACAAAGCTTCCCACGGATACCAGTCTACAGATCTCACCCATCTTCAAGCACATCCCCTTCTTAATAATCCTCCTCTTTAATTAATCACGCCACCTCGAGTTATTCTTCAGTTTTGCTTTTGGAACGAGAATTCCAGTCTCAAAAATGTTCTCGGTAATCAGCGCTATAGTAGACCAACTGAAGACTGAGGTGTCCCTTGCATTAGGCAAGTCCGTAACAGTTTTAAGCCACTCCTTTGCGACTGACTGACATTGCGTGCTGCTCGCTGCTTCTTGACGCCTCCAGCGTCCGGTTCAGTAACTATTAGGACCACCGTAATCCTACTCTGGCCGAATGAGACAATTATCTTCTGAGTAAAGTTATCTGTTAAACACGAGCCATTTGTCTAAACAGCCTATGAAATCGACCATCTAAACTTTGTTTTATAACAAAAATGCTATTGGAATTTCTATTTCTAATCTCCATTACAGAAAAACCAAGGGCCGTTTCAGTTTTAACGGACTGCTTGTCTCGTAATATTTTCCTTCGTCTTCAATGGATCCGTACGCCTGGCAAAGACATTCGCTCTCCATACTACATGATCACCCCTACTGTCGTCCGCCCTACTTGGAGCCAGTAAACTCAATTTGTGTTGAGCCAACGTTCATGAACGACGTCTCAAGGTAAGTTTGTTCACCATTTTAAAGCAGCATTTTAGTGAACCGGGTGCCCCGGAATTTGACGGCTTCTGGGTGGACGTAACAGCTGAGGACGAAATTCCAACACTACAATCCAACGCCCTGGAAGCTGCAGCTGTTCCTGCGAGTTTTGTCGAAACAGAACCAGCCTTGGATATTATCTCTTCCAAACAGAGTGCTGCAACGGATTCCTCACTTCCGTACGTTTCAAAGGAAATTCAACCAACTTCTTTCCTTTTTTCTTCTCAGGTCAAAACATAACGTGTGGCACATATCGGCAGCACGAATCTTCAGGCAATTAAAGAAGACACTAGCTAGAGCAGCTCTCGAGATTTCTGTCTGCCATCAACAAACGTTTCAATGTACATCCTTGGATGTAGAGTTCCGAAGGGCTTCACAACACTCACTGATAAGGCAGCGCGTTTCACGCTCTATTCGTAAAGCCTTCGGGTTTTTGCACTGGGTAAGAACTGTATGGCGTTTCTGATTTTGTTCTAGCGTACTGATGTCTGTGTTGAGCTCCATGAGACCCTACTGAATACCCTGCCCTGCAACCTTCTTTCGGTATACTTGGAGGGTTTTGGATGTCTCTATACCCAAAAGAAGGTATTTTTTGCCTCATAAACAACTTACAAGATCTTAAACAATCCGTATAGGTTACTTGTCTTCTCGACAACTTGAACAGTTTAACATTGTCGCATCAGAAGATACGACGATTTCCTTATGGAGAGTTTGTGGATTGGATTAAAGGAAAGGACTTATCCACCTCCGTTCACTGTCATTCCAATCAGGCATGTACACATTATGCGCCTATCATGCATATTAACGCTTCCTACTTTGACTTGGACGAGAGTCGCCATGTCTATTTTAATTGCTTGGTTTTGTTCAGGCAACAGGAGGTTTAAGCTGATGCCAAATGTCTTGTTTTTTGGTTTAATGTGCCACAAACCCTAGATAAAGATGGGAAGAAGTGCGTAGCCAAGCACTGTTACTGCCGACAGAGTGACATTGTTCACGTTGCTCACCTTTAGAAGTGACCCTGATCAATCATGGTTACAACCATGCCATGTAATAATGTACTTAGGAGACCAGGGAAGCGAAGTCAAAGGACAGAATACTTTCAGCGAAACTTACAAGCAGTCTATTCTTGTTAGGAGTGCTGAATTGTTAGTGCTGCAGTGCGGTCGGTTTGTACGGTGACAGGTTGGCATTATTAACTTTAAAATTCATGAGTACAACATGATTTTTCCGAAGAAAACCTTGTTGATCATATCAGCTCGAAATAAATGCCTCCTCGTTGTTATATATGCACGTATTAACTGGTAGAGGGTGCTCACCGGTCGAATTACGTGACCTACTTTTCCCGTTGTGCCTTGATCAAGAGGCACGTAGGCAGTCACACAGTGATAAGTAATATGTATATAATCATAGGAAGGGCGTTTACTGATAGATTTACTTGACCTACTCGTCCCGTCCTACCTCAACTTATTAGCCGTTATCAGCCGGCCATACCCAACCCTTGGTTCGGACCTCCTGGGATCCTAACCTAGAATCTTAGGTTATTGTGTCAAACGCTCCACTGTTGAGCTACGGGCCCGTTGTCCTGTCGGCTATGATCGGAAATATTAACTTATCACAGGAAAGTCGTCTGTCGATCGGTTACGGGACACGAGCGTCCGGTTGATCCTTGGGACTTAATCTAGAGCCTTCGCAGGCAGTTACATAATGACTGGTACTATATGCGAGAAGGGGCTAACGGAAGAGACGAGGGAGACTGGAGTGGCCATTGCTGGCTCATTAGCCGTCTTCATCCAACCATAGCCAACCCCATGTTGGGACCACCTGGAATATACTATATGTCTGTGGAGGGTGGAGGTAAGGCGATCTCCCGGGTAGACAGTTTTCTCATCTGACGTCCCGCTCTCGTACTTGCACGCATCATCACAGATAGACAAAATGCGGAAATACAAGGTTTAAATAAGTCCTCTGACTCCTCTCTGATAACCTCGTATGGCGCCGGTACGTCTATCTTATGGTTGTTCGAGTTGGGATTAGATTGCCGGGCCTCGATTACTTCCATTGACATTGTGCTTTCTGCTCGACCGAGTAATTGTGCGTGCTCAATGGGGAATTGCTGATTATCAGTAACCATAAATTCGAAAATTTTAGAGGCTGTGCGTGCCGGCATGCGATCACATATCTTTTCGCTTTATGGCTAGGCATGATCATGCATACGCATTCTCAGTTGTTTGCCGTCCAGGTCACGATAAGTGGCCCAGTTTTAGACAGCTGACGCGACGTATGACTCCTGACGTGCCATCAGGCCGTGGCCGACTCTCGAGCTGCATGAACAAGCGGCGGATAGAGACCTGCAGTAGATTTCTAGGGCCCTTAGCCTGCGTTCCATTCCTTCAGTGACGCCCCTCACGTACGATAAGACACAAATGACTTCAGGTCTTTGTCTTTGCTCTCCGTCGACCTCCTGTGAGGGTGTCCATTGGAGGCAAAGAGGTGTTATATTGGCTTACGCTCATGCAGTTTTTCGGCCCCTGTGCTGCAGCGTGTCGGTGTGCAGGGGTTGTTTCCGGAGGCTACCACGTTCATGCGGCAGGAGGTGGTTTTCGTTGTAGTTGGGGATTTCCACCGTGTTTGCTGCTTTTTGAAAGATGCCAATCTGGAGGACACAGTTTTCCTATCTCTGCATCTGGAGTCTTTTGTTATCTTCATTTTTGCGTGTCGCTTGCAATGGGGCGATAAAATCCGCTGAATGCCGACTCCAAAAACTGAAATCGCCATTGAGCTGCGTTTCTCGCTCTATCCTGCGGACCACGGGTCGAGGGGCCGTTGTTGATTTTGTCCCTCAGTGTTTTATGGGGTCCGAATTGACGAATTTGTGTGCTTGGCTACAGTTTGGTGGCTCCTGAGCATTACTACGCACTCAGACTTGTTCTCTCGAACAATTAAAATTTCCTCCCCCCACCTTTAATTTTTTTTAGTGGCTGTCACTTCGGCCGCGCAGATGGTTCGACGTGGCCCGTGTGGCATAGTTCGTGATATTTCACATAATGGCCCCCTTGTATATCACCACGCGATCAAGACTCGGCCCAGTAATTACTTAGGAATTATTGAATGGAGTAAAGCTACACTTGTCATTTCGACCCCGCCCTTATTGTTTTGATCGAAAAGTTCTTTTTAGTTTATGTTGGCTGACACAAATTCTCCTCTTCCTTGTACTGAAATTTTAGCAATCATTGTCCGAGCCAACGAATGGATTTTCTCCCATCTCCTTGATGCCGTCGATACCGATTTGCGAGATTGGCTCCACTATTGGTCGACAACCATCTTCATTGGCAGATGCCGACGATCCAATTTTTGTCTGTGTAATGCTTGCGAGCCAGGCTAAGAGCCTCCGCATAGCGCGCTTAGTGCGTGACCTTTCGTGCCTTGGTCGTGTCGTCTCCCAACCCATCCCCGAGGATGCCTGTGAGACACCACGTTTGGGAATGCGATGTCTAATTCAACGGCTTCTCGCCTTGGTACGCGCAGTTCTACTCGTCCTTTCTTGTTTTGCAGACAGAGAAAGTTAAAAGTGGCCTTCTTAGTTGCGCATTGTTAGTATGCGCAATGCGCAGAGTCAAATAGGCGATTGCAGGAGTTCCGAACTACCAGAGACTAGTCTGTTCGGATGACTTTTTGACTCCTGCATTTTGGATAATTTAGGTAAAGCTAACTGACTAATAAGTCCACTTTGACCTATCTATGAAAAACTCGGTGCCCCGGTGGGATTTGGAGCCACTACAGCAAGGGGAGGCTTTAGTACAGTAAACGCCCTAACTATCTGAGCTACGAGACCTCACCGGACTACGCGAGTTTAATCAGATTTGGGTCAGTTTTACCCGCCCAACCTACTGCAACGTCTGGAATCCACCGAATCCGACACAGTAAGCTCACCACCCAAGCAGGATTTCCTAAGTAATACATCTAGAATCCACCAGATGACTACCAGGCTCACGTAATTCAGAGGTGCTTTGGTAGATTTCATATAAGTCACTTTGACCTAACTGTAAAAAACTCGATGCCCCGGTGGGATTTGGAGCCATCACAGCAAGGGGAGGCTTTAGTACAGCCAACGCTCCAGTCACTTGAGCTACGAGGCCCCACCGGACGACCGGGAGACTACTAAGTGTCCGTGTTGATTTGGGCGGATCTGTGGCGATCCATCACGAATCAACTACATGACAAAAGTCTGCTGTTACATATGCAAAGTCGCTGTAGCTGTCTCCCTCATCTCCGGGCCTGAGAGTAACGAGACTAACATCGGAACTGTACTTATTGTACTCGTAATTAATGGTACGAAAGACGAAAAAAACTCCTATGAACGCGGAACTTTTATCCCCCTCTTTGTCACCTGAAGTTCGCGCCAATTGACGCCGTTTTTTGCAAGAATTCGCACGTATTTGCAGTTGCTTGTCATCAAAAATATAGGCTAACTTGTACACTCAGCTGTCACTCTCCTAGCTGCCTGATTTCAGTCTCGGACGTTGTCCTTTGGACGCGGAAATAGTATTAATCCAGTTAGCTATGATTTCTATCTTACGAAATTAACTCAGGTCTCGGAGCCATATACCATGCAAGGATATGTAAACTGTGAAAACTGAATTGAGGGTGTGGGAAGACCGAGTGGAACATACAAGTGGCTGACCACTGTCATACTGCCAACGCTCAGGCACTGGGCACAAGCTACTGCCTTAAAACTGCGACTTAGGCTACCAGCCTGCATGTCGTACAGGTGTTGACAGACTAGTAGAACTAAGTCGTGTAAATGATTAGTTAGATGGAAGGAGTGAGCTGTTGTTAATTTATTCATCGCAGGGGTAAAGGGCCATTGACGGTATAATTTTATCCAACCACATTTGTCACAGATGGACGAAAATCGTCCGGTACCCATCTACCTAGTCGGCTTTGGCATCACCTGCCCTTTGATGATCACAGCGGCCCTCCAACTACCCGCCTCCTACAGCAACAGCGGACTCGAGAAAGTTCTCTGCGGCCGCCTGCTAGGATTAGAAAGCCCTGCTCCATCGCGCCCCTGGCTCAGTGGTCTTATCTGTCTGGGCATACCGCTTACCTTACCGACACATCAGCTGGAGGTGTTGGCTGCAATTGGCCGTCGCTGCTCAGTCCTCCTCCTTGTGGGGGGCCGTTCACGCTTTGGGGGTGAACAGGAGGCCTCTCGGTTCCGCGACTTTCTCATTGCTGCTCGTCGGCGTGCGCCGCCGCCCTCGGAGGTGGGAACTAGTGGTGCAACTGGTGGCGAGGGCGCCAGCATTAAGCCACACGAATTCGATCTGCAGCTCCTTATCGTGGGTGGAGCGGATCACCTTCTCCGACTCCATACTTCCACTGCTCGCCGCTGGTCTACCACTCAAGCCGCCGTCGACTATGCGCTGATTGTAAGCGTTAGAATGGATGCCATTTCTTGCATTGAAAAACTAACTTCACCAGTCGAATTCACCTACTTTTGACCTGCGAAATTGACCTCGTGGAATCCATGCCTGGTTGATCCGGGGTCCTCAGCCAAAAAGTTATAGATACTCAGTCTTGTCCTTTGTCAGTTTCACCCTCCTTTTTGTATCAGGAGTAGCCTGGAATGAGGGCTTATTTTTTGTGGCCCATTTTCGGTGGTAAGTCCCACATCCGGTATTTGACTAACGCTGATGTTTGCAGTCCCACTAAATGGGTTGTAGCATACGTTTATAAAAAAGAGCAAAACATTTGCTGCGACAACCTTATGCACTGGATAGTTAGCTTGGAGTGTTTCTTTCGTTTGTATCAACTGTCGCCTCGGAGTTGTCTAAAGCGGGTTAAGTAGGCCGAAACGAGGCCCTCAAAAATACAAGGCGTGGAACGTCGGGATTCGGATTAATCGAAGGAGGGGGAGAGCAATTAAGATCTTAGTGAGCGGAGTCTCAAGTAGGAGAAGGCACAGAATCACGTTTCAGCAGTCCTTACGCCTGTGTAACTTTCCAAAGTTCACCCATAGAGGAGTGATAACTTTACACTAAAATGGAAGTACACCGATCTGACTGGCTTCTTAGAACGAAGTGGCTCCGCCCGCGAACGTCCAAGACGACCAAACAAAGGACGATGGAGGGCATGAATAAGCCCGCCAGCACCCCCGCTACCCCCAGTCTACCTTGGGGTTTATTGATTAAGGTGGTCTACTGCGATTTGCCCGTTTGGTGAGAAGGAGTGCAACGACACATAGATTGGTATACTACAAATGAGCAAACAGCAACTGGTGATTACACCCTAAAGAAAAATCGCAAAACTCTGGCACTCATGAGTGGAGTCATTTGCTTCGGAATGTTTGTCCCGTGGTCGTCAACAGGTCTCTAAAGTCTGCGTACTCGACTTCACAGAGCCGGCCACAGAAGAGCACTGTACATGGGATAGTGAGTTTTATTATGAGCATGCTGGGGAGATTGTTCTAAAACATGTATTCCTTCTTTAGGTTGCTATGAGGAACTTTGTGTACGCTTGTCGCAACCTATCATTCAGCAACTGTGACTCCGCGGAAACACAGTCCTCTTTTACGCCCGGCCTTAGAGCACCTCCGATATCTCCATCGACCGGTTCTGTCCTTAAGATGCAGCCTCGACAGGTGTATGAACGCGGAAATGGCACCTGGAGGCCTCCATCATGGGAACCGACCTCCGGCGCGTTAATGCACGTCACGAATCCCGTCCACTCGGGCCACGGCTACCATCAACAAACATCCAACCTCATGTCACAGCTTTATCGTCAGACCAATTATGAGAAGCTGCAGTCTTTCCGACAGAGGGCCCGCGATCCATCGGACGTCAGTGTTTCGTCATCCACACGGGGATCGCATTTGGCTGAGAAACGGAACGTCCCTGGTGAGCCCTGTTTAAGAGGGTCCTTCTTCTACGTACCGGTCATACGTACTGTTACTATTATGCAAAAATGTTTGCAGGCAACCCACACTAGTTTTCAGTCTAAATTGTGGTTTAGTGGTGTTAGGGAAGGGTCGTATCCTTCGATGTTTTTAACCGAAAACTGTTCCATTGTCGGGTTTTTAAAGGCTGCCCAAGACTTTTCTACTACAAATGATGCTTTCTAGGGGTGTCGTGTGTTTATTCTTGTAGGCAGAAATCCCAACTGTGCATTCGAGGAGTCTGAGAGGGTATTGCTGCTGAGCAATTTTCAACTACGAATCTAAGTGCACGGTAGTCCTCAATGTCCCTTGAGCAGTAGTGCTCTCCGAGCCGTTTATAGAAATTGTCTACCAAACCCCACGCTCTTGTCCTCTAAGTTTGGGCTAGTCACGGAAAGAAGGCGGTCTGTGCATTTTACAGAGCTCCGACTTTAATAAGATTGGTATTGAAATAATGAGGCTGTACAAGCTGTGTTATTTTCCTTATTTATAGGTCGGCGTCTTGCAGGTCTGTAGCACATCCTAAGCCGTTTTGACGCGAATGCGCTATCAACTCCGTTGTAAACATTAGTCGCCAAAGAGATGTGCAGCTGCGGCTTATTTTGGAAATTAGTCAGCAAACTTTTGCTAAGCTTAAAAGAAATCGACAGATACATTGCTCATGAATCATATCCGCGGCTGGTGGTAACTTAAAATTTCTATCTATCGCGCTATCAGGCTTTGGCGTCTCATCCTGGGAAGGCATTTGTCCGCCGTCACAGCACAGATATCAACCACCAGCATCGGAGCGGTACGGCGAAACAGCGAAGCGGAAGACCAGCGAGGGCTCACTGCTCGGCGCTAGGTCACGACCGAATAAAAGGCTCAGGCGCCAGTCAACTCTTATCTCGCAGACCAAGTCCTCACCGCCCCTCAATGTGAGCCTCCGGGACCCGCCGTCTTTTGGCGCTCGCGAGACTGAGGGACGAGATCCCTACGCCTTCGAGTGCGGCGGTGACGGCGACAGCGGGGAGGGAGATCCTTTGTCGTCGCCGAGACGACAACCTGAGTCGTCAAGGTTCCCTTCGACTCTCACATTCTCACAGGTGGAAAAAAGTGTCCCGGCGCCATCACAAGAATCCTTCTTCAGACCGAACACTCTTGAACAGACGCAAGACGGAGACTGGATCACGGGTTCACCCAGCTACCTTCCTCGGCGCTAGTGGGGGAGGCCTTCTGAACCGGATGACGCATTCACATTTTATCCTGACTAATCAACCTTCGAACGTGTATCGACTTGCCCTTTTAGGATGAGTAATACGTAAAACGCCATCTGAAATCCTGTTGCCGCCCTCTCAGGGTGTTGTCAGTCAATGTAGCACTTTTAAGAGAGATTCAGTGACAGAATTGTTTGTAGCGGTTCCGAGTCTTGACCTTGGAGTAATGTCTCACTATCTGCCGTGGAAAAGTCTGCCTACTGATTAAGGTCGCCCGTTTTCGGATTTAAAGGCCAACGGAGGCATACTTTTACGGTGTCCACTTCCGCATTAGGAAAGTTAATTTAAAAAGGGTATACTAACTGCTTAATTACTTAGGGGAAATGTCGAAGTTCAAGCAGCCGTTCCCAAAAACGACAAATGGAGATTCCGCGAAAAGTCGTATTATCAACACAGTTCCTTGACGGCTTCAAGTAGCACAGAGAGAAAGGTAACGGCAAATAACTCACTGAGCCACATTGTGAAGTTCTCCGGAATAAGAGGTTAACCATGATGTAAGGAGTTACAAGAGCAGAAAATTGGATGGGTAAGGCATATGGTCGTCTAAAACAGTGTATGTACACAGAGCTGGGCGGAGTTCAATCCGAAGGCAAGGAGATCAAATCATTTCTTTGTTTTTGAGTCTTCGCTAGCCTTTCGGGCGCAGACTTCAGCAATAATCTGCTCCCAGTCCGTTTGTGATAGGGTGTCCGAAGCTGTGCCACCTGTCTTTTGGGAAATTGCTTCGAAGCCCTGTGTTTGTTCATCGAATTCCGGACCGGCTCCCCAAAGGGATTCCAAGCTGTAGGTTTCGCGACAGGTTGAAGAGGAGAATAGATGAAGGACGATGTTTCCTGCAAATTTGCAATCAGAAATTTCGAATTAGGCCTTTGGTTTGAGGCGAAACGCAAACAAGTTGGCCCCGACAATTGGCGCTATGAGTGGTCTGGAGAGCAACCATGACCCAAATATGAATTTGGCCGGAACGTATTGCAGCTATCGAAGCAGACGTTGCATGCTAATATTTACAAGAAAACTGGTCCTGCGCAGTAGGAGGTATACTTGGCGCCATATTCATTAATTCCATGGACGGAGAGCATACCACAAAGTGGATATTTTCCACAGTAACGAGCAATTCTATGCATTGTAGTGCATCATCTGCTTCTGAGGGGTGACTGCCTGGGCACAGAAACGTTTGGCAACGGTGGACACCAATTGTGCAACGGACGAGATGGACTATATTACAGTCGTAGTGGTACAGGGTCTAATTGTTTGCAGGAGTTATGGGAGGAGACAGGGCCAAATCTAGCACACTTCGCCGTACTGACAGCGATACCACGGTGACAGGTCAGTTGTGGATGCCGGACACTGAGCCACGTGCCGTTAAAGGCGTTTTTTGTTGCATAGTTGCTTAAGTAGAGTATCTAAATATGAGGGTTATTTAGCTGTGGTAAAACGTGCCGAGCAACAACTTCGTGATTTAGTCTGCGAAAAATGGGGTGTCTTACCCAGGTCTGTTGCTATCCAGTCCGAACTTTCCTGAAGTCCTTCGAAGACGGGCAGGGGGTCCGTGGGATTCTTTTTCATTTTGTACTGAAAGCAACGCACAAGGATACACAAGTAAGACAAATTATCCACACCCAAAACATCCCAAAAGTGGAAACAACTCAGTCTTTTTAACCCGACAACCTGTCACTGGTTCACAAGGCCTGATCCACCAGTCACAAATCGAGTCATGATTGAACCGATAGCAGGTGGCATGAGGGGTCCATGGAGGTGAGATACTAGGACCGAATGGCTACATTTGCAATCTACTTCTGCGAGCTTGAATATTCGGTTAATTAGTTACCAGGGCTCCCATCTACACAAATGAATAAAACAGGCGGTGGATCGCACGCGTGATCCACTGCCGAGTGCTGGTCAATGACGATTCGCAGGGAAGGTAGTGTGGGGCTTACGAATGCTTTGTTTCCCGACAGTAATCTACCATGGAAAAGACAATAGGATTCGCCACAGACAGAAACTCCTGAGGCAAGGGTTAGGACCCTCTCAACTGCACATAGATTCCCCTTACTCTGATGAAGGGGAATACCACACACTCAGGTAACGTTTATCCTAGCTAGTACGGCCTGCACTCGATCAGTACCACTGAAAGAGGAAGAGAAATAAATGTTGAAGGTACATTATTGGAAAGTTGCTTGCTTATGAATAAACCTGCTGCACTCAAAGTTACGAATATTTGCACTATACTTCCAATGGAAAATTACGTAAGGGATGAAAGACAGAGCAGGCTTGAGGGAAACTGCTTGAAGTTGGGAACAACAGTGACAAGTGGCCGGGCATCTCTACTTTATTTCTTCAGAACTAGTATGTAGCGGGATGGAAGTAGACGCCATCATTACTTTATGGCAACTTAAAAAACGCCTTCGAGGAAAAACAAGGAGTCACCCAGGGCCTATGAAAGAAGAGATCATTTTGGAAATTGTATGGAGAAGGGAATCTGAGCACTTGTCTTGAGAAGGAGATCATCATGAGCAGTCTTGAAGACCGCTAGCTCCCTTCGAACCCTCTGTTCCTTTACAGAGGCTGGTCGGAAGAGGGTGTAACCAGTAAGGATTTTGAATATAATCGAGACCGGATAGGCTTCCATGAATTTAAAGGTAAGTCTTCCACCGTTTCAACAGTCGATGGACATTTAAAAATGACTGTCTGCATATTGCCTGTGATAACAAATTGGAGTGCTGGTGAAAAGTGTCCTCACAGTCCTGAAATAAATCGAGACTTAAATTCATTCGAATTGGCAATGCTTAAGCACGAAAGACTCCATCTCCCGCGAGATAATTCCTACTAAATACAAGACCGGGCGGGACCCTGACTCTGAATAACGTCTATTAAGCTGGTTTGGGCCAGTCAAATTGTTCTAATTGTGACCCGTTGGATCTCATTCCAACCCGACGGGCACACAATTCTCCCGTACGATAGAGAGGAGAGTACGGTTATAGGTGACCACTTTATATAGACTTCAAGAACAATGACGTAGTGAGGGTCAGTCAAGTCTCACTTTGGTAAGACCAGTGCTTGGGCCAGAAGTCAATAGGGAGGTCCGCATGTGGAGACCTGGTTCCATCTTCGCAAGACTTGTGCTGTTTAGAAACCAAAATTTGATGTAAGACGTATTAGTACCTTCAGGATGGGTACCACGGATGCACTATTTATCCCTCTAAGAGAAGGACGACCATTCTAAGCGTCAACTACACCAAATAGAACAGGGAGACCTAAGTTGCTTCCGTGGGTCACATTATCCGTCAAGTTTTTATTCAGGTAGTCCATACTATTCGATAAATGAGCAAATATTACGAAGGGACAAGCAGCAGTGTCAATTAACCTGGTCGAGTTGTGTGCAGAGTCCAGAGTCTGTGGCCCAGTCCAGTTAATTACGTCCTTCACAAGTAATTTAAAACGGTTTTAAGTCAGTCGGAGACATGACGCGGCATCCTGATTTTAATGATACTGAGTCTTGGTCAGAGCTGGAAAAGGCAGTGTTACGATGGTCATAGAGTCATATAAGTTGCCGGTAAGGCACGCGAGGACGACGTAAAACTAATCCACTGTGCAAGTGGAGAATAAAAATAAATCACAATCTCAAATGAAAATCGGAAGTAGGGAAAAGCACGAACGGTTACTTACGCCTGCTTACCAATTTCTGAATAACAGCCGTAGTTTGTGTGAGATGCCTTTTTGATTTTGCGCTTGCAATAACCATGAAGTCACCGAGGCATGCCGTCTGTGGAAGTTTCAGACAAACAACCTGATCCAAATTCTCTTTTCGCAGGAGTTTTACCATCTCTTCCAATTCAAAAACCCCAGAAGCACCTCCTATGTAACTGTAAAAAGAGGATGTGTATGCTTACTCTCTGGACTAATAAATGAGTAGTCGACTTCTCTGCTAGCCTGAGCAACGTATCCGAACTGGGGGTCTTCTTCGAACAAGCGTTCCGAAGGCAGATCGTAAACCTCAATAACGCCGCTATCTGAAGGTAGGCAGACGGCTTTGTTTTTAGAATCATCAGCAAAGCGACGGAGCAACTGTCCCGCGAATTTCTTCTGAATTTGGTATGTACCGTGGCTCGGACTACATGCCCCAGGCTTTGCAATATACAGAAGCTGAGACAAAGAAAAAAATACACGATAAGTGCAAATATGAAAATGTTCGTCCACCATGCACAAAGAAGGATGACGTTTATACGGAGGGAAAATACTAAACGAATGACGCACAAAACGGTTGGGCTCTGTTGGTTTCTGAGTGACACTAACATTCTCTTTTTGTCGCCAAGGTCCTACGTAAGTGTGTAGGTAGGATAGTATTACCGATAAGGGCAAGGCAGTCTGGGATGGTAATTTCTGGTTTGCTAGCTGTCATAAGTCAGCCATACTCAACCCTTTGGTTTTATAGCCCATGTTCTGTTGGGTATCAGTCCAATGTTCTAACCAGTGAACCATGGGTTCGCTGTCTGATTAGTTGCTATCGGGTATATAAACAACAGTGGAGGGGAGCTCACCGCACGCGTTATGGGCCAATCTAGAACCTGGTTAACGGCCGCACAGCAGCTAGTAATATAGGCAGAAAAGCATTATCGACAAAGGTAAGGGAGACGGGAACGGCCATTCCCGGCTTGTTAGCTGTCATCAGCCAGTCATACTCAACCCCAGGTTTTGCAACCTCTGGTCGCGGCTAGCGGTTCAGAAATGGCCACTGAAGTTTCCCTTGTCTTTGTCGGCAATGCTATTTTGCCAATATATGCATATGCATGGCAAAGGTATCATACCGTACTTCCGACAGAGGTAATAACTGAAAGCATGGACACGTGTTTCGCCAATATTATGTCGCTGCGTGGCACGGTTGCGAGGGGCTCGGCTCCTCAGTCAGTTCCCCAATGTTCTCTATACGGTTGCTGGTCATATATCAGGGACTTAACTCCATGTCCTGTGCTGAACAATGTCTGAAATCAATCGCTTGATTATTCTCTGGAGTCCATATGAAACTGGGAATCAATCAATTTGCAGCAACGAGTGAATGGCGAGATTCTAACCTAGAATCGGAATTTAGTGCTAGTAGGGATCTTCCAGACACGGCATAGAGAACGCTGTGGTCAGGGTCGGAGGCATAGCTCCTCGGACATTTTATTGGCTATTTAGGATTCATAGGACCCGGCTACACAGAGGCATACAGTGCACAACGACTATAAAAGCCTTATCTATGCTGAGCACTTTCAGATGGAGCTCCATGGCTCCGTAAAAGAAATCCAGACAGTGACTCACGGAAAGAGTAAAAAAGCGAAAAGACGGAAAGGCGAAATGGAACGGCGGGCGAAAATAACAGCCATCTAGAGCGCCAGAAAAACTAATTTATTATGTGTCTATGTAGTATTCGCGACGCATGACTACGCACATTTAACAGGCGTCGCATGTGCGCCGTGTCCACGGGGGCTAAAACGAGCGAATCGCTCAGGTTGAAAAACGCGGCGACTTTATTCAGTTAATATTCAGGGTATGCTCTAAGGTTTTTACGTATCCATGAGCGCCAGATTTGGTAAATACGTTTTGTTGAATTTTTAGTCCAATAATTTCCTTTTTTCTTACTCTGATGATTTAATAGATGTAATCGCTGTTTTATGTAAGCCCCGTTTGTTAAGTAATTTTAAAGGCATCATATTTGTTAGTATTTACATTCCCCCCTCTTCCTGTGAAGGCGCATTAACCCGTTTTTTCGATTTCCTCTCACAAAAACTTGCTATATTATCCTGCGACTATCTTACTCTCTTATGCGGTGATTTTAATCGCGTGAATTTACGTCCCCTTACACTTTTAGGCTTCGATTTTCTTGTCTCCTTTAATACTCGCGCAGATGCCCCTCTTGATCATATTCTGACTAAGCACAGCAAGCTTTTTTGCGTAAAAAACAGGGCTCCATTGTCAGGTTCTGACCATTCCACTTTATGGTGCCTTCCAAAAATCTATTCCACTTTTAAACGTGCACTGCTTGCCAAGCCTGAGAGAAAGGTTAATGTTCGCAACACGTCCGCCCAAAACATTCTCATGCTTCAGACTTGCATTTCTCTTACTATCCCCACTTTCCTTGAACATTCTAATGTTGAATCCTGTTCTTCCAACCTGACAGCGTTTTTTAAATGAAATTTTCGATATTTGCTGCCCTTTTGATACTGTTATGGTACGACCGGATAGAATTTCTTCCCCCTATCTGAAATCGTTAAGACGTAAAAAAGAACTCTTTTACAAGCTAGGCTTACGTGATAACCTTAAGGACGTTACCGTCTTAATAAAAACAGAGATTGACAGACTAAATAGCCTGTTTGTCAGCCAACTTTTTTCCTCTTCTTACTCCCCCCCTTTCCCCCCTTCCTCAGCTGAGATTTGGAAAAATCTTAAGCGTCTCACTGGCCATCGCAACACGCTGGTGCATGTGGATGCAGATTTAGACTCCCTAAATAAAAATTTTATATTTAGTCACAATGACTCCCATCTTCCCTTAGAAGACATTCCCCTATCACCGAGTACATTCCAACCCGTGTCTTTGGCAACAGTAGAGAAACACCTTAAAAAGGTTTGTGGATCAACAGCTGCCGGACCGGATGGTGTCTCGCCTTTTCTTCTTAAATCTTGCAGTTCTCAGATAGCCCCTATTTTAACGCACTTAATCAACATGTCTTTCATGGAGTCCAAGATTCCCGACGCCTGGCGTACAGTGAGAATTACTCCCATCCCTAAAAAGCCTGCTAACTTTGGTCCTAAATCTTTTCGCCCAATTGCCTGCTCCTCTGCAATACTAAAGCTTGCTGAAAGAGTTGCCCTAGATATCATAATACCTTTTTCTTCCAGTTTTTCTGACCCCTTACAATTCGCATACAAAGCTAAACGGAGTACTTTAGATGCTGTTGCTCTTGTGGTCCACTCTGCTCTAAAAGCATTAGACAAGGGTTGCCGCGAGTATGCGTGCGCTTTTCTGGATTACTCCTCCGCCTTCAATACCGTCACGCGCCCTCTTCTCCTTTCCAAAACCTCCGCATGTGGCTCTCCAGGCTGAGTCGTCTCTTGGCTGAGCGATTATTTTACCTTCCGCACCCAATTTGTCCAATCTCGCAAGCGGAAATCTTCGACCCTTCCCAATGACTGCGGTGTTCTTCAAGGTTCCATTCTATCCCCTCACCTTTTCTCCCTCCACACTGATGATCTCAGGTCCCCTAATGACTGTCTTCTGGTCAAGTATGCCGACGATGTGGTTGTTGGACACCCTCTCAAAAGTCAGACACACCTCCGGTCTCTAAAGGATGGCCTAAACCATGTCCTAGCGTGGTCGAAGGATAATGGTCTCCTAATGAACAACCAAAAATCCGTTCAGTGTATTTTTCGACTGCGGCCCTCTCCTAACCCTGATTCCTCTGACATTCTTCCTAATGAGGTCTCCTCTTTCAGGTATCTCGGCGTTACTTTGTCCTCAAATCTTTCTTTTTCCCTCCATATTGAGTTCCTATTTATTAAAGTTCGTAAACTTCTTTACTACATTCGTCGTTTGCGTTCCTACCACACACCTCAGCCCTTAGTCTGGCG